TAAAACCCATTGCATTGATAATACCATGGTTTTCTATGCATTAGTTATGCATAGGATAAACTAATGTTTGCATAACCAATGCATAAGTTCAAAATGTCTATCAAACAAGGTATTATTAATACACAAAGCTAATGCATGCATTATTTTATCTAATGCATCCTACCAAACGACCCCTAAGTGTACGAGAAACATTTAAAAGCAGGTATATTGTTGTTTGTCCTCAAGGAATTTCTTTACTGTTGGATTAATAAAAATGGAAATAAGTTGCCAAATAGTGGAAGTAGTTGTTAACTAGAAGTTGGTTGGCTTCGTGATATTGTTTTGCTTGTCATGCAAACCTCAGAGTATAAATAAATAAATAAAAAGAAACTAATGTTTCCTCACGGGCATCTTATTCTGTGTATGAATAACGGGGTCGTCATAACACGTAATATGAGAAAACTTTAATTTACGAATTACGGACGTCATCAAGTTGTAAGTTGCTGTTAAAATTACAATTATAATCCAATTAGCATGGGGTGAATAGTAAAAACTACTAAAATGCATAGAAGTCCAACAAACAACTAACCACCTACAACTACCAGTACTACTCGTCCAGTAGTTATCGATTAGCAGTGATTAATATGAATAAAAACAGGTAAGTGATAAAAGAAGGAATAGAAGTGGTTGCGTCGTCAATTTAAGGGCTCCAAATGAGAATGATTAAAGAAAGAAATTTGAGGAATAATAGGCATCATTAGGACTAAGACTGAGTGTCCTCCTAACGGAATTTTATGTTAGTGCTGTTATTATCTTCTGGTTAGACATTGGTTGTGTTGCTCCTTATTCAATGATCCATCCACTTACATATTTATGAATGATGTTGAGGACTACACTCTACTTTTTAATCATCAACTCTTATCTCCTACTTTCATTTTTCATCCCCTGCTGGCCCAAAAAAAATGGTGTGTTTCATATATATATATATATATTTGATTTTCTTAATAACTCCTATGTGAAAAAGAACAATTCAAAAGATGAGTTCATCGGCAGTTATCAGGGGCGGAGCTAGAGTGCCGAGAACGGGTAGCTTTGGTTTAAACTCTATATTTGTCCTTAGAATCCAGTAACTTAAAAGGATTAAAATTCCCAAACTATAAGCTTGAAATTCGGGGTCCGCCTCTGACAGTGATACTTGGGAAAAATTAACAAATTAAAGAAGGTGAAAAGGGCGTGGGAACTGAGGAGAAGCTAATATAAAGAAGGGGAATCTTAATGGGGGATATGTTGTGAGAAAAGTGAAATAAGAGAGTCAAAGCACAAGAGAAAGATGAGGTAAAACATCAACTCAAACGACAACCACCTCAAACCAGCATTTGCCGCCATAGTTATGTATACTGTATACATATGTACATGTTTTTAAGCATGTAGAGTTCTCTCTTTTAACTGTTGTGATCGAACACTGGAACATCATTTGGGTAGATGCAGAGCGGACAAAAAACTTTACTAAAATATTTATTTCCATTCGAGAGGAGCAGACTCCGCCCCGATTTAAGAGTCTGATTTAGTTTGTAATTAATTGGATAAGAAATGAATAGTCGTATTATTTTTTATGTGTATACTTAGATGACCGTGGATAAATCAACTTTTAGAATATAGGAACTCTGTTTTTAAGAAAATGGGCTTCAAACTACATTTTTGACATTATATTGTAAAAATAGCACGGTATAGCTAGTTTTAGGACTGGTCAATCAAAAATAACCAGCGTTTACCAAGTCAATGAAAAATAGTCACTATTTTGCTGCAATAGAGACCGGTCCAGCATAATATACTGGAGTTCGGTGCACTTGTGTATGAACTCCAGCATATTATGCTGGATCGCTATACTTTGCTAGCTCCAGTATAATATACTGGAGACTGGAGCGTCGGTGCTCCAAACTCCAGTATATTATACTGGACCAATATACTTGTTGGAACTCCAGTATATTATGCCGGAGTTCTAGTGTACTTATGCTGGAACTCCATCATATTATGCTGGAGTTCCAGCATACTTATTCTGGAACTCCAGTATAATATGTTGGAGTTCAAGTATACTTATGGTGGAACTCCAGCATAATATACTGGAGTATTTTTCGGGTTTTGAACAGTGTTTTCGCTCAGATTTATCTTTATATAAAAAGTGGCTAAATTTCGATTACTTTTGAAATTGGGCTATTTTTGAACGACCAGTTGTAAATCTGGCTATTTTTAGAATTTACCCCATTATATTTTGTAACGAAAAAGATGATGTAATTATAGAGCACAATCCCATGATGGACAACTCTCTCGTTTCAATTTTTATACCAAAAACAAAAAAAGATTCTTATGGTATTTCACTAGTTAATTACAGATAACTGTCTATGCTAAACATGAATTATTAGTAAAGGGTCTACCACGGATTAATTGAACGTTAAGATATAGGGTATGAGATAATAATATCGGATTCATCTCGAGATAATATAAAAGAGGTGCTATGTGTTTTGACGCTAATTAGGAACTGATTTTAGTTAATTAAGTTCTTCTAGCTAACTTTTGTAGTAAAACTTTAGCTAGAAAGGCACTTCATTGAATATCATAATTTTAGTTTAAAGTAGTTAGTTAGGAGAAAATTTTGAAATTTTGCGCTTATTATCTATTTTAACTGGTTTGGAGGGCCCATGTATAGGCTTCCTTTTTGTTTTCTCATGGAGTAATGATAGAGTAAGAGATATTATATTGACAGGAGTTAAAAGTGGGTTTTCATGTTAGTTTTTGTTGTCTATAAAATTTAAAGCTGATTTTTTTACTTTAATTTAGGAAAATAAACCTTCGCATGTTGCTTAATTTAATCTAAAAACATTCGAATTTAATTTAGAAACCATAAAATTATTTTGTCTTTTTTGTTTCTTCTAATCTGTAATATCAGAATTTGCATATGTAGCAATCGCATCCTTGTCTGCGAGTTGTTTGCTTATGCTGGGTGGACATAATACCTCCAGAACCACTAATACCACCGCGCGAAGAAAACAAAGACCAACAAAATGTTGACATTTTCTACAAAGTGACAAATGAAATATTATATAATAAGACATTGGAAAAATGAACCTCGTTCAACTCTGAGACTGACAAGACTCATAACAACCTTGAATTTTAATTTATAATACATTAGAATAAAACATTCCTTTGGTTAAGTCCCTAGTATAGTGTACTCTATTTGTATTGGTCAACATAATCAGCGGATACACTTCCAAATTGACTACTCTCGCATGATAGACTTACGTTAATGGGAAAGTACGTAACACCTCTAATTAATAGTTTGCATTATTATATGGGAATTAAATAGTTGTACTCTTTTCCTATTTTTAAAATTTTAATATAGACATATCACTTCTAAAATAATTATTCGTACAATATCGACATTATATTTTTTTATAAAAATGAGCATAACAAGCGGGACGTCACCATTTCTGTACATATGTCACAGAAATGGCAAAAAATGAAGAATGTCCAATAGCACATATTGCTCAGTACTATATTCCATTTGTACAGATGAAATGAAAGTTTCCTTATGTTGGGTGCAGTTCATTCATTCAGTGAAGCAATAATATACATATAGTTTTATAGTCTTTGCATGCATGTGGTACGTACTATTACGAAATGCGTCAGACCTTTTTGTACACAAAAAATTAATAAAGTCGTAGATGAAGTGATTCGGTGTTTTTGTATAGTCAGTACTCAAAATGATCAATCGGGAAAGAAAAAGTAAAGAAAGAAAATATATGCAATCCCTATTTCCTTTTTAGAACTCTATTTGGATTGGATGGACCATCAATGGATGAAAGCGCAACTCCTCCCAACCCCACAACTCTCTCGCCGTCTTGTCGTTAGTGTTAGTTGCACGAGTAAAATGAGTGATAGAGAGAGGTAGAGATTTCCTTGGGATAATGGTGGTTTCGAGGGAGCTTTTCTTGAGATTTTAAGGTCGAAGGTCATTGTTTCTTGATGTAGGGTACCCCACTCATGGAATTTGGGAACCCCTAACCCCACTCCGAACAAATAAGGTCCACAAATGTGACATTATGACAATGTAAAAGATGATTATACATTCAATTTATTTATATGTTAATTATAGGTAAATTTTTATCATAAATATTACTCCATCTTTATTTAGGTGGAGGTGTCACCTCTCGCAGAGTTTAAGAAAAAAAATATTTACGAAAATTATGATAAAAAACAAGTCATGAACATTCATGTGACTATAAATTCTTTTATTAAGAATAAAATTAAATTATTTCTAATAAGAAAGTATAATATTTTAGTAGAGTAGATTAAAAAGAAAAGTTTGTTACATAAATTGAGGGGAATAGTAAGAGATAATCTGATAAAAATAGTAATTAACCTGTTATATAAATATTAAAATTGCGTAATAAAAACTATATACTATCAATATGTATAAATCCTAATTCTATAGTAATAAGGTGGCCTTCAATCTCTCTAGTCTCTTGTGCCTTCCAATTTATTCCTATTCCCACTGTCATTTTATGTGAAGGTTTTATTGTTTGGGATGTCAAACATTTTCTTATTAAGAATTTCTCAAACTTCTTAAATATTCTGAATATTTTACATTAGTTTTCTAGTAAATAAATTTATTGTAATTAAGAGATTGAAGAATCCATGCTTGAATTCCATAAAATACTATGTAGATGCTTTCTTGTAATCCACTTCGCATAAATTAGGATAGAACGAATATTTATTTTATATTTATTCTAAAAGTTTGATCAAACACTTCAATTTTGGCCAAAAAAGGTTATTATTATTCTCACTCTCTCTAAATACAAAGGTGGTTGATTCTATCTTAGAAGCCGAAGACCCCACCAATGTAAAAGTACACCAATGGCCATGATACGAACCTTTTCATGCAACTACAGACCCATTTGTGTCCCTAACTACTGCATATAAATGATCATGTTTCCTCCCTTCCCTTTTTTAACTCCCACACGCTACCATCCTCTCTCATTTTCTTCACACCTTCATCTATTACTTTCTCAATCTTTTTTTATCACATTCTCTCTCACCACCCTTTTCCTTTTATAGGAAATCAAATTAAGGTGAACTCCACATCTTTCTTTTTACAGCTCTATATCTCTCCGTCTCTTTTTGATATAACATTTGATGTCAAAAGACATGAATCTATCAGTAAATGGGCAATCTCAAGTGCCTCCAGGATTCCGTTTCCATCCAACGGAGGAAGAACTTCTACACTATTACTTGAGGAAAAAGGTTGCCTGTGAGAAGATTGATCTTGATGTTATTCGTGATGTTGATCTCAACAAGCTCGAACCATGGGATATTCAAGGTAATTAAGTCCTTAGTTTAATCATATATATGTAGTTGACATCATGTCATAGTAATTAAATGATCGAACCCTCAAATTTGTATATGCAGAGAAGTGCAGAATAGGAGGATCGACGCCGCAAAATGATTGGTACTTCTTCAGTCACAAAGACAAAAAGTATCCTACAGGAACTCGAACCAATCGTGCTACTGCTGCGGGGTTCTGGAAAGCCACAGGTCGTGATAAAGTCATACACAGCAATTGTAAGAGAATTGGGATGAGAAAAACCTTAGTCTTCTATAAAGGACGTGCCCCTCATGGCCAAAAATCAGATTGGATCATGCATGAATATCGCCTCGATGATAACATGACCAACCCCCAAGACGCCGTCAACGTAAGTATTCTTAGACTAAGTTATATATACTACAGTATAACAGAGAAATTCGAGAACTGTACAAGGTGAGTAACTTCCATATATTTTTAATTCCAATTTTCCAGGCCTCTGAATCAAGTAGCCCGGAAGAAGGGTGGGTGGTGTGTCGAGTTTTCAAGAAGAAGAATTACCATAAGGCACTTGAGAGTCCTCATCAGAGTTCATCAGCAGTCTCTATTATGAACTCAAGAACACTTATTCAGAAACCAAACAACGATGGCGTTCTGGATCAAATACTCATGTACATGGGAAGATCGTCATGTAAACAACAAGATCATGAAAACAAACACAGTATCAACTTGGTCAACAACATCAATAACATTCACTTAGATGATCATCACATGCAAATAAACAGCACCTCGTCCTACATCAACACCAACAGCAGCAACGGTACTACATTTCTACACCTTCCAGCGCTAGAGAATCATCATTCTCCGACGACCAACATGGATGATGACGTGTCATCTCTGCAACTAATCCAACAAGATTGCAGCTTTGGTCATGAGAATATGTTAACAGAAACTGAACCTACTTCTGGGGCTGGTCCAAGTGATTGGGTAGCTCTCGATCGTCTGGTGGCTTCTCAACTGAATGGCCATGTGGAAACATCAAACAACTTATATTTTCCACTGCATAATAATGGGTTACAGCTGCGTACCAACGGGAGACCAAATGATGAGGACGACGCGTTCTCTCAATCTCAAGCTGCACATGAGGACGATGTTGAATTTTGGAGCTATGCTCGATCTTCCTCATCATCACCCTCTGATCCATTATGCCACTTGTCGGTTTAATTCTAAGTATATACATAGCCTTCTCTCGTACGTAATAGGCCACTCTCCATCGTATATTATGTAGAGCAGCACGTACCTATATATATATACTATAGTTCAAAAGACGTCATTATATTATAGTACGTTAGTTTGATTGATACAATAATAGTACACGCACTTGGATAATATTTCTGACGGTAGACATTGTCAACTGGAATATCTTTTCCTAATAATTAAGGTTGTCTCCCTATTTCATCATTACTATCCAACATGCTCTTTTTAATTTCCGATGATTGCGTAAGATATGTATATGGATACACAACCCCCATATAATTTTATTTTTCTTATTGATCAGGACCATAATCATTTTATAGTGAGATCCCATACAATTATGCACTTAATTTCTTGAAATTGATATACTTCGTAATTATTACCTTCCACTTACAAAAAGTTCCAGCATCGACCAATATAAAAAAACATATATCAAAATAGTTGTCTTGGAAGAAAATAATAAACAAGACGATTTTCGAAAGAGCGGAAGAATTTATGTAGGGTTTATTGTAAAGCCTGAAAAGGTTTTGCACATGCTCAAAAGAAAGGCAAACATAACACTTTTCCTAATAGTTTGTCAATTAGTCCAATGCTTGAGTTGTTATTTAGATTTTTTTTCTCTCTTTCAGATGTGCATTTATAGAATATTGCTGACCTTTACCTATTTCTGTTATGGATTTTGGTAGGTATCCACCAGATTGACTTTATCAAAAAAAATAAAGATGCAATAGAACAGATGACATATTAAAAGGTTAAAAATTATAACCAATTTCGATTAATTTGAATCAGCATTCAACTATATGCATTACCTTAATTATACTCCATCTATTTGGTTTAGGGGTGACAAACGGGCGTGTCGGATATGAGTGGATCAAAACGGGTAATTTTAAAAACGGATAAATGATCTGACCCGACCCATATTTGAGATGGATAAAAACGGGTTTATCCAGCGGATAATATGGATATACATATTATCCATGGCTTCTTAAATATGATCACTTATGAGAGAATTCCTAGTCTTCCAAACTTGAGGAACTCCAATTTGAGACTTTACAAATGTAAAAGTTAAATACATTAGTTATCCATTGGTTAACCATTTTCTAAGTGGATAATATGATTCTATATCCATATTCGACCCGTTTTTAAATGGTTCATTATTCAATCCATTTTTTGATGGATAATATGAGTGGATAACTGTTTTTTTTTTTAAACCATTTTGCCACCTCTAATTTGGTTCTATAGCGCGCTCATTCAATTTTAACGGAGTATCTTTGTAAATTATGTGTTGTTTAAAATTAGAGATTCTTTTAAAATGTAGCATGTATCCATCTCTACACTAATATATACAACTATGTAACCAAACTATAGACACTCCTGTCAATCACCAAATCTAATCGAAAGTGTAACATAAATAACTAAGTGTGATGACCCGATAGGTCATCTCATGTTTTGAAATCTAATTATGTGATCTGAAATCTCAAAAATCATGTTAGGCCTTCCTCGATTTGCGTGTGCAGTCCGGGCATCTTTTCGAAAAGCTTTTATGTAAAAAACTGTCAAAAATAAGAAATTTTGCCTAAAAACTTCATTTGAGTTGACTTTGGACAACATTTTTGGTAAACAGAACCGGATTCGTATTTTGATGGTCCCGATGGATCCGTATCGTGGTTTGGGACTTGGGTGTATGCCAGGAATCGAAATCGGATGTCCTTAGCCCGAGATATCGAACTTTGTCGAAAGTTGAAAGTTAAAGGCTTAATAAATTTAAAGTGTTTGACCAAAATTTGACTTTTTGGATGACGGGCCCGTATTTTGATTTCAGAACCCGGTATAGGTATAATACCATATTTATGACTTGTCTATAAAATTTGGTGAGAAACGGAGTTGGTTTCACGTGATTTGGACGTCCGGTTAAGAAATTAGAAGTTTCAAAGTTTTCTTGAAAATTTCATCTGATTTGGCGTTCAGTTTTTAGTTCTAGGTGTTATTTTGGCGATTTGATCGCGCGAGTAAGTTTGTGATGTTTTTAGACTAGTGTGCACTTTTGGTTTAGAGCCCCGAGGGCTTGGTGAGTTTCGGATAGGCTACCGAGTGAAAATTGACTTGGAAAGATTGCTGGTGTATCTTATCTTGTTGCAGGCCTCTGATATCGCATTTGCGAGATCAGGCATAACAATTGTGACCTCTGAGTGGTTCGCATTTGCGAGCTTCTCATCGCAAATGCTAAGAGAAGCTGGGCCACACAAGTTTAGCATTTGCGAAACATCCTTCGTATTTGCGAAATAAGTATGGGGAGGGATTCTTCGCATTTGCGAAGACATGGGTCGAATTTGCGATCCTCAGGTTCCGCATTTGCGAACATTTTGTTCGCATTTGCGAAGGCAGCAGAAGTGTTGGAGTTTCGCATTTGCGAAGCTTTTTTGGCATTTGCGAACAGGTCGCATTTGCAACATCTGCAACTGGGTAAATATGACTTAGACGGGTTTTTTCTCCCATTCTTCAAAACCTAAAACCTTAGAGGCAATTTTCCAAAGAACTTTTCTTCCCCAAATCATTGGTAAGTGATTCTAAAATAGTTTCTTTCAACCTTTCACTACATTTTACAAAATTTTAACCTAAAATCTAAGGTTTTCCTGGTGGAATTGGGGGTTATTGGGTAGAAACTAGGGATTTGATAAATTGGGGATTTAGACCTCAAATTGAGGTCGGATTCCAAAACAATTGTACAATAAGGTTCGGGGTGAATGGGTAATCGGGTTTTGATCCAAATTTTGGGTTTGGACCAAGTTGGCCCAGGTGTTAACTTTTTTTATTTTTTCAATAATGGCCTAAATTGAATTCGTTGCAATCCTAGGTAGTTCCTAAGGCTTAATTTGAATCGTTTGGTTGGTAATATGCTAAATTCTACTGGTTCGGAGGCTCATTTGAGAGGAAAAGTTGTGGTTGAGCTTTGAGTTTGGCCGTTGGAGCGAGGTAAGTGTCGTGGTCAGCCTTGGCTCGAGGGATTAGGTCTTATTTGCCTATTTTCTATGTGTTTGAATGTTGGGTACAACGTATAGGTGAGGTGACGAGTACCTATGCGTTGTTGTCGGGTCATAGCATGCGAGTAGGTCTTATTCATGTAATTGTTGCTTTTCGTGATCATATTATCCATGCTTAGACTAGTTAATCGTTATGTTTATCGTTCTTATCATGTTTACAAACTTTGGTAATAATGGAGTATTGATTCAAAGTTGAGGTTTGTATTGTGGAACCAAATGATGAAGTAAGACTTGTTCTTGTCATTTTTATCTCCATGTTGTCATTGTTCATTACTTTATAATGAGGGAGAGTGAAGCTACATTGAAAAAATCACTTCTCTTTTCTCTCTCAGCGCACGCTAGAGTGCATGTGCTAACGTACGCCAACTGCCATAGGGAGGGGACGGTAGAAGAGAATTGCAACTACGAGCCAAGTAATTGATTACGCAGGAATGAGCACTCCAATTCTGAGGAATAAGAGCAATATGGTTAGAGATCAAGGAGAAGCTTCAATAGAATAGTGGCCGCCATTGTCAACCACAAAGGAAGGTATGAAAACTCCACTGGATAAGGGCAATCATAGTGGTAAAGCAGTTGTTGATGGTCCGATGATACATGCAAGCCCTAATGTAAGCAAAAATGTGACAATTGGTAATAGTCATGTACCAATTACTGGTGAACTGGGGGAAAAAGGGGCTACAACAGAGATAACTCAACCTCAAGTGAATTTGCCTCCCGTGGAGGCTGATAAAGGGCAGAAACAGTGGACAAATCTTTTCGTGGGATCGAACTTTACAGCAAAAGGTATGGATCTGAGTTTTATTGCACCAACTATTAAAAATGGTGAGGTGATTGTGGAACTCTGCAAGGAAGAAATTGAGAAGGAGACTCAGAAATGGAAGCAAGCGTTTGGAGGAAGTCCAACAATAGGTGTCATGGAAAGGTACATTGCTTCAGTATGGAACTTTATAGCAAAGCCTAAGGTGTATTTTCACAATGATGGATATTTTGTAGTTTGTTTCAATTCTATTGAAGATAGGGATGAAGTACTGTATTCAGGACCTCACATGCTGAATAACAAGCCTATCATTGTCAAAATGTGGTCTGCTAATTTTGATTTTAATAAAGAGGTGCTTCAAACTATACCAGTGTGCGTCAAATATCCTAATTTGCCTTTGAATTGCTGGGGAAATAGGTCACTAAGCAGAATCAGTAGTGGTTTGGGAATTCATCTATATGCTGATGCTTGTACTACTCAAGTTGATAGTATCTCCTATGCAAGAGTGTTGGTAGAAATTGATGTTACTAAAGAGCTGCCTAGGTCCATCAAGGTGACTGATCCAAATGGGAGGGAGTTTGTTCAGGAAATAGCATATGATTGGGTTCCTGAGTTCTGTACTAAATGTATGCAAATTGGCCACAAATGCAGAGTAGATGAACAGCTAGGACCAAAACTGAAGGCAAGGAATGCAAAGTAGAAACAGGAATGGCAACCTAAACCTGTACCCAAAGTGCAGGAAACAGCTGCGAAGGAGCAATCAAAGATGATAGGGCCTAGTATTGAAGGAAGTGCTAGCACTAGTACATTGGTTGCTAGTGCTGGTATAGGAGCACTGAAAGGGAATGAGGAACAAGTGTGGCAAACTGTTATAGGAAAGTCAACAGCTAGAAGCAGAGAGAGACAACCAGTTGATGTAGTCAATTTGCTTAATGGTTCTAACCTTCTCGTAGAGTCTAAACTGCAGCTAGCAATGCCAAGACAAATGGAGGAAGGGACAAGTAGACAGCAAGGTAATAATGGGCAGGAAGGGACTATGCAACCCCTTTTCATACCTGTATGAAGCTAGTAACTTGAAATATAAGGGGTTTAAATAAAGCCCCTAGACAAAAAGAGGTGAAGTGGATCATTCGTAGTAATAAAGTTCAGATGACTGCATTACTAGAACATAAAATAAAAGAACAGAAGGCTATGCAAGTTATAAGAAAAATTACACATGGATGGGCATGCTTAGACAACTATGAATATAGTGGTAGAGAAAGAATATGGTTGCTATGATTCAAGTGAAATAGACTGCATAGAATTGTGTAGAACTACTCAACTTATACACACTTCAGTTTATGTTAGGAGATTGGATATGAGGTTCACTTTTACAGTTGTATATGGAGTGCATAGTTTGGAAGATAGAAGAAGCCTGTGGAGTGAGCTGATAAGATTACACTCTATACAACAAGGGCCATGGTTGATAATGGGTAATGCCATTAGATCAGGGGAAGATAGACCAGTTGGCAATCCGGTGCAAGAACTGGAGATCAAAGACTTTAATGAGTTTATTGACAGTACTGGATTGACATAAATGAAAACTAGTGGAAGGAGTTTTACATGGACAAATGGTCACACTTATAGCAAGATTGATAGAGCTTTGATTAATGCTGAATGGATGCTGGCCATGCCACACTTAGAGGTATGGATTATGGATCCACATTGTTCTGACCATTCCCCACTGAGTATAGCATTGGAAGAGGATGAAGACTATAGCCCTAAACCATTCAAATTTCAAAATCATCTAGTTGAGCATAATGAGTTTATAAAGATAGTAAGTGAAGCATGGGAGAGGCCACATGAGCAAAACAATATAAGGAATGTCTGGCTAAAACTAAAAAGAGTGAAGCATGCTATGAAGGTTTTAAACAATAATGAATATAATGCTGTTGGTGATCAGGTCAAGGTATGCAGGCAAAGACTAATTGCTTTACAAGAACAAATGAAGGATCCTGGTCAATCTGAGCCCCTAGTAGCCGATGAAAAAGAAATGAAAGTACAATTGGAGAAATGGTTGGGGGTGGAGGAAAGTATTATAAGGCAGAAGTCAAGAGTAAAATGGTTAAATCTAGGTGATGCCAATACAGCATATTTCTTTGCAAGTATGAAAAACAGATGCATCCAGAACAAAATCAGAAGACTAGTAAAGTGTAATGGGGATACAGTGAAAACAAGGTAGGGAATTGAGGAGGAAGTGATAGGGTTCTACCAATAACTATTAGGTTCCTTATTTTCCTGCTATTAATCCAGCTGTCATGAGAGATGGTCCTATGGTGAACAGAGTGCAACAAATGCAACTGATAACAGAGGTATCAAAAGAGGAGATATATCATGCTCTAAAAGGCATAAGTGATAACAAAGCCCCTGGATGTGATGGTTTCAATGCTTTATTCTTTAAGAAAGCTTGGCCTGCAATAGGAGACACGGTTACAGATGCAGTAATGGAGTTCTTCTCAAGTTCAACTATGTACCAGCCTATTAATTGTACAACAGTAACACTTGTACCTAAGGTGAAAAATCCTTCTAAAATTACTGAGTACAGGCCAATATCATGTTCCAAACTACTATACAAACTTATATCTAAGGTAACTAACTAATAGATTACAAGGAGTGATGGATGGGTTGGTGGATAAAAGTCAGTCAGCTTTTGTTCCTGGGAGACTAATAAATGACAACATAATACTTAGTCATGAGTTAGTTAAAAGGTATGACAGGAAAGGTATTTCTCCTAGATGCATGATGAAAATAGATATGAAGAAGGCTTATGACTCAGTTGAAAGGGGCTATTTAGAGCAGGTGATGACATCTTTGCAGTTGCCAGGGAGATTTGTGCAGTGGATTATGAGATGTGTAACAACAGTCTCTTATTCCATCATCATTAATGGGCAGCCTACTAGGCCATTCCAAGCTAAGAAAGGATTGAGGCAGGGAGATCCTCTATCTCCTTATCTATTTGTATTGGCTATGGAGTATCTGACAAGGTTACTGAAGACACTCAAGAGGGACCCTAACTTCAATTACCATCCTAAATGTGGCAAAATAAACATAGTGCAACTGAGCTTTGCTGATGATTTATTGTTGTTCTGTCGAGGTGATGTTATATCTGTTCAGCTACTGTATCAGTATTTTTAGAGTTTTTCAAAGGCATCAGGGTTAGTGGCAAATGTTGATAAAAGATTTTTTGGCGGAGTGCATAATGACAAGCAGCAGGAGATTTTACAAGTTCTAGGATTTGTAAAAGGAACATTACCAGTTAGATACTTGGGAGTGCCTCTCAGCTCTAAGTGATTATCATTGGTTCAGTGTCAGTCTCTACTTGAAAAGATGCTAGGGAGAATTCAATATTAGACATCAAAGTTCATGTCCTATGCAAGAAGAATTCAGTTAATTAAGAGTGTGCTATTCTCTATTCAAGTGTTCTGGTCTCAGGTATTTTTGTTGCCAAAAAAACTGATTCATCTCATTGAAAGAGTGTGTCGAACATTTCTATGGACTGGGTGTGGAAGTATCAAAGAAAGATTTATTGTCATGGGACAATTTGTGTAAACCTAAAGCAGCAGGTGGCTTAAATTTTCTTGATGTAGAGGCCTAGAATAAGGCAGTTATATGCAAACTCCTATGGAATCTATGCAAGAAAAAAGATAAGATGTGGGTGCAATAGATACATGTGTACTACAATAAACAGAATTCACTGTGGAGCATTAAGCCAAAGCAAGCTTCATGGATGGTACAGAAGATCCTGAAATCCAAAAAATACTTTGAGGAAGCTGGCTATACAGAGGAGGATGTAGAGGGAATAAGAAGGTTCTCCATTAAGACTATGTAAATGAAGATTCGAGGTGAATTTACTAGAGTGTCATGGAGGAAACTGGTGTGCAACAATGTTAGACTGCCAAAGTGGATCTTTACAGTATCCCTAGCGGCACATCGAAGGCTACTGACTAAAGACAGATTGAGGGGATGGGGCTATGTGGAAGATGCAACATGTTCATTATGTAACACTGAGGAGGAAACCATTGATCACTTGTTCTTTAGCTGTCCTTATTCTTCAAGAGTATGGATAGCAATGCTGCAATGGCAAGGGATACATAGGCAAGCAATGACATGGGCTAATGAGATTGAGTGGGCAGAAAGATACTATAAGGGGAGGAGCACAACAGTTGAACTGTATAACTAATTATGGCAGGTAGTCTGTACTATATAGGGCAAGAGAGGAATGGCGAAATTTTTAAAGGAGAACAGCGATTAGCAGCAGTATTAAGAAAGTAATAACACAAGATGTGCATGGTCGAGGAGCTAGTAAACAACGACTATAACGAAGACTGATGGAACTTAACTACTATCCTAATGTACAGTTAGATGCCATTCCTAGTAGTATAGTAGTTAGAACTGAGGATAGTGAACTGAATGGCTAAAATCTGGGGCTTATGTCCAGATTAAGCTTGACACAGCTTGTAAATATTACTGGTGAATGAAAGTTTTAATTACAAAAAAAATGGTGAGGGAGAGTGTTAATGCACGAAGGGTGATGCCGTGCCTTGTTGTGAGTTTTAATGCACGAAGGGTGATGTCGTGCCATGTTATGAGAGAGTTAATGCACGAAGGGTGATGTCGTGCCGTTTCTATTATTTCATATGGTGAGGTTGAGGGTAAAATCACAAAGGGTGATGTTGTGCATTTTCCTTTACTTTGTTTACTGGTTCCTATTTATTTAAGGTATATTGGTTGATCAAGTTCTTATTACTGCTGTGATACTTTATCTTGTGATCCCCTCAGCATGTCCCCCTCCCGATGTCACTTGTCTAGCTTCTATTTGCCGTTATCTTTGTACATATACTGTTAAATTGCACAGGTTTATTTGTGGGTGTCTTGTCTTATCCTCGTCACTACTTTGCCGAGGTTAGGCTCGACACTTACCAGTACATGGGGTCAATTGTACTAATACTGCACTCTGCACTTCGTGTGCAGATTCTGGTGTTGGTCCCAATTGATCGAGAGGCATAGTAGCTCGGAGCGGACCACCGGAGACTCAAGGTAGATCTGTCGGCGTTCACAGACCTTAAAGTCCCTGTCTATCTCTTCTGTTTTACTGTTTCTTTCATTCAAACAGTTGTACTTCTTTCAGACCTTTACTTGTAGTAAATCTTAGAATGTTCGTGAATTTGTGACACCAGATCTGGGTAGTAGTAAATGATGAAGCTATTATATTATTCCGCACTTCCTTTATTTCACTTTAGCTTATTTACTATTATATGTTGAATTGAATAAGGTTTGTCTTAATAATCTTCTAATGTTGGCTTGCCTAGCAAGTGGAATGTTAGGGCTCATCACGGTCCCGACGGTGAGTATTTCGGATCATGACACTAAGCCTTTTAGGTAATATGGTATCAAGTAATGAGTAACTGAAAAGATGAAAAATTGAGCAAGAAGTCGTACATATAATTTTTCCAAGTTCTTCCTTTTGTTCTTGGAGAGAACCTTTTCAGTAATGTAATCCGTGTCGGATGGCTGTCTCATATTAGCGTGCAACATTTTGGAACTAATTGGATAATTTCTTTACCTTTTTCCTATTTTTATGTTGGGTTTAACTTTTATATATTGTCAGCATTAAATACTATATGCATTCACTTTTAAGGTAACAAAAGTAACTACGCATAATCAATAGATCTAATAAGTTGGGGGGGGGGGGGGATCTTATATAGTATATTGTAAAGATTCATTTATATTGTCAACAAATATTAAATAAATTCTTGTTTTATGTTTGAGACTCTTTAAATGTAAAATAAAGTTGAGTTAAATTATATCTTTCGAAAGGCAATAATATTTTAAAGTACCTCAACTAATAGACGCAATCAAATTAAGTATGCTTTTTCTATCTCGTTATACATGTACTCCTGAATAATGTTACACTTATCATGTTCAGGGCAGGACTTCTCTCTCAGCACATGTTACTAATGTGCGCCATCCATGGGCAAAAGGGCTCCTTTCTTAGTTTGATCCAGTCCTCTTGAGGTTGTAAGTTGGTGCATCAACGCCATTAGAGAAGAAAGAAGCAAAACTCAGACCCAAAATGTGATGGAAACACCAAAGTTGAAATCAATAAAACAGTAATCCAAGCTACAGTAATCAATGAAACAGTGAATGTTAATGAGAAATCTTGGACTAACTTGGTCAAAGGAGAAAGAAATAGCCGAAGACTATCCTGGGCCGATGAAGCTGATGAAATGGAGGAATTAGAGAAGACAAGCTCAACTTGGGACAATTTCGACATCGGAAAAATCTCAAATGCAGGTTTCAAGCTGGATTATGTCTCGCCAAAGAAGCTAGGTGAGCTTACGGTTTGTGAAATTGAAACAAAGGACATTAGTTCGGAGATTAACTACTGGAAAAATTCAGTAGTGTGTTATGTATTGGGGGCACATCCCCCTTTCTCTGTGCTAAATGGTTATATCCATGTTTATGGGTAAAACATGGGATTAACAAAATTGCTATGCTAAAAAATGGGATAGTGATAGCTCGATTGATACGGAAATTGGGAAGAATGAAGTCATTCAAGGTGGAATCTACCATTTTGATAGCAAACCATTCATAATGAAGGCTTGGTCACCCGACATGGAGTTTACAAGAGAGGAGTTACTTACAGTGCCTATCTGGGTGAAGATGCCGGGTTTGGATTTTAAGTATTGGAGCCCTAAAGGGCTAAGCAAGATAGGTAGCCTGATTGGAAGGCCTATAATGGTAGATAAAAACACGGAGAAGAAGACTGGTTTGAACTTTGCCAGGCTGCTCATTGAAGTAGAGGTAGATGTTGCTCTGCCAGAGAAGATATGGTTTAGAAATGAAAAAAGGAACTTAATAGAACAGAAACTAGTGTATGACTGGAAGCCTACACTTTGCAAGTTCTGTAGTAAATATGGGCATGCTGAAGATGATTGCAGGAAAAAGAAAGCTCCACAAAAGGCACAGGAGGATGAGAAATAGGTAACCGAGGAACCAAAAAGAGGGATAAACAACAACAAGAAGGAGCAGGTAGTCAACAGAAAATAATAGTACAACAATCTAAAGAGAATGGAGGCACAAATTATAAAACAGATGGTAGATTAAAGGGGAAGACTACGGAAGTGTGGGTTACACCACAACACACAAATAGACAACAATCAAATGTAGTGCAGCAGATCAGGAATTCTAACAGCTTCCATGCCCTTAATGATACAGGTCCAAATAAGCAAGTAAGCAAATCTGATGTGGTAAAAGATGGTGATCCAAACATTCCCTCTTCTATGAATGGATAGCCTACTCATGTTGAATGTTAGGGATTTGAATGGCCTTAATAATCAAAAGGATGCGAAACTTCTTTACGGGACAGGAAGCTGGTCTAATTGGTCTTTTGGAAATCAAAGCCAGTAAAATTGAAAAGATTGCAAAAAATATATTCAGTGGATAGAAGTTTCTCACAAATTTAGAAATGCATTATAATGGGAGAATTTGGCTAACATGTAGAGCAGACTACTTCAAAGTCACACTTAGAAATAATGCTCAAGCTATTACTTGTGAAGTACAGACATAACACAACAGAGGACCTTTCTCCTAACTGTTA